AAGATGGGAACCTTGTAGACAAAGCATCTGTGCCGCATATACAGAGCGCACCAAAAAAATCTAGATAGTCGGAAGAGAAGCATCTCGCGATACCCAATTTCCACGATGCCCAATTCCCACGATGTCCAATTCCTACGATGCCCACCCTCATGTCGAGGATAACGAAGATTGCTGGAGATCGAAACGTTGCCAGGTTGAGAGAAATATTCATTCAGGAAACACAAGACTCCCACCATGCCCACTTTTCATAAATTTCCACGATGCCCAATTCCTACTATACCCAATTTTCACTATATATGCCCACTTTTCATACGATACCACGATGCCCAATTCCACCATGATGAAGGTGGGCATGGTGAGAATTGGGAATCGAAGGAATTGTGCATCATGGGAATGTAAGAAAACTGGGCATGGTGGGAATGTATGAAAAGTGGGGGTGTTGGGGAATCCGTGGCAGATAGGCATGATATGAATTGGGCATCGAAAGAATTGGGCATTGTGAGAATCTATCAAGATTTGGCGTGGTGGGAATCTTGGGTTTTCTGAATTTTTCTCATAACCTGGCACCGTCGCGCTCTTTGGCGATCTTCGTGATAATTGTAGACATGAAGGTGAGCTTGGTGGGAATTTTTCAACTCATGGACAAATAATAGGTTATAGTCTGATTCCCAATGATTATTCTTCTGTGGGTTAGAATAAATTATGTATGTACATAGGAAAATTTGCAAAAATTAATATCACCCTTGTGACTATGCACATTATGTAATTATATTAAGGGATTATATTGTTCGATACTATCGAGAAATCATATATGAATGTATGTATATGAATATCGAATTTATGATTGTTTTGGTCGAAATAATGATCATCTGCAGATGCATACCGAAAAAATCACTGTCGTTGCAATTATGAAAATTAAGAGGTGATTACCATCATCATCTGGAGACAGATATGCAAAATATTTTCGAAGAATTCTCATGCCCACAAATCATACAGGGTGTAAATTATTTTTCAATTCGGAATTGCCTGAATAATGAGCAGATATAAATGGTATTCCATTTGAATAAAGTGCCATCGACTATCTAGGTTTTTATGATGCGCCCTCTATATGCGGCAAGAATTTCTAGTTATGGACTTTATTGTCCCATTACAACTTCGTCTTCGAATCATGTTTCATGACGACGGTCTCTCTCATTCATTCAGCTCTCAAATGAAAAATTCAATGAATAAAGTGAACAGAACCTGTCGTGGATCTTATATTCTCATTTCCTCATATTATTTGGATCTGTTCAATCGGTTCAATAAGCCACATACTACATATTTATCAAAATGTGACTATTATTTTTCTTTCTAGGAACAAGACTAGAAAATCCTGGAAAATCCTGACAATGAGCAAGTCTTCGATTTGCGCGCATTCATGAACAAATTTTACAGGAATACTTACTCCTCGAATATGAGATAAATTGAAAGATGCAAATTTGGAAAAGAATTTCAGATATTCTTGACAGAATCTCCCAAAGCAATAAGAACATCGAAGTTCAGAACTGGGTAAATATTCATTGAATCGAATATTTCATTATTGCTGATGAGATCATAAAGATGTTCAAACATGGACGATAGACATCATACAGACATAAATAACCGAGAACAAAGTCATTCACTTGAACGATTTCATGTTGATGCATAATGATGGATGGATGCAATAATAATTAAGAATCTACTCTGTAACAGTTTACATGCACCTTTTATTTACAAATGTAAAAAATATAAAATAACAATTTCATTGTTTCTATAAAAATCGACAGAGAAAGGGAAATCCATGATTACATCTTAATTTAACTTTGCCTGCCAATCCATCTAAAAATAAATTAGTTATGAATGTATTAAATAAATATTCTACACATGAACTTGGTTCATTATTATACACTTCACTGAAAATTGTTCATTATATCACTCATATATTCAAGATCGTACACGATAATAGGGAATATGACTGTTGAGAGTCACGCACAATCATTTAACTATAACGTACTTATTCTATATGCATTCGTTCAACATGTTCAGATAGTTTCTTTCAGGTATTATCTCCTGACATATCTTAGACACATCGAAATATTTTTTATTGATGAACAGCCGTTGAGATGCATTACTTTTTCTCTGTTATTGTCATCATAATTGTGAAAACACTGCCTTTTCACATTATATGTTTAAAAATCTGCTCTAAATGAATTCAAGATGTATTGAGTAATAATATTCGAGTATTCACCTATTTTGATAACAGTTGTATATGGAAAAATTCGGAATCGGATGAATCTTGATGAAAATGCATAGTTTTTCCATCTATTTCTGTGATCATTATATTCATCAAATTTGATGATCATTCAAATACTTAGATTATTGAGATCGCAGTCACATAGGACAATAGTTGTAGTTACTGGGTCTATCAATAGGATCAAAAAGTTTTCAACAGAACACATTGGAAAAACTATGAATCCCTGAACATTTTCCTCACTTGCACTGAAATAGTACCTGAAAATTCCAATTTGAATTTCGTATATGAACGTGAGATAATCGAAATTTTATAGTAGAGTAAAAAATGAGGAAAAAAGTCACTACAACCCTTTGTAGTGCATCACTTTCCTGGTCAAACAAATATCCATTGAATGATGAAATCATATACCGAATTTAAATGCGAAATATTTCAACCATTCATGATTTCTTGCGAATGAACTATTATTATTTCTTCACTACGTCGAATTTCGAAACAGCCTGTGAAGCTTCAATTTCATTATTCAGTAGAAAATTCTTGGTAATTAATTGAAATATTGACTTCAGAATGGATGGGTATTTGACAGTTCCCAGAAGCTATTTGAAACAATTCAGCCCTATAAATGATACATTTCTCGAATTCACAATTATTATACTTGTCCATTCAATTCAATTCGCTCTGTCAGGTTGTATCAACAAAAGTGAACACGGGAGCAACATTTTTTCATCGTTCTTTGATCAGTCAAAATGTGCTCTTCAGAACCCGAATAGTCACTGTTGTCTGCAATATGAATAAAAAGTTGTTGGAAGAGCACTTTGTAAAGAAAATGAATCTATTCGAGATGATTGCCACTCTGATTAAAATATTATACAGTTCTGGAAAATAATAACGATGATGGTATTTATGATTAGTGGCGATGAATGAAGATTTTTTAACCGACGGTTTCGTATTCAAAAATACAATTATGATGATTTTCAATGAGTATACCAGTTCAAAATTCAAAATATCACAATCAATTCTCCAGAAGATAACTTCGGCTAGCAGGACTGTATATATACTTGTTCCACCTAGGAATCTTGTTTTTGTATCGCCCAGCAGGTGATCTCTACACCAACTTACCTTACCGACAGAACATGATATAATATTATCATGAGGATGATGATTACTTCGACATGTCTGGTCATATTAATAGATAATTGGAAGTGAAAGCAGAGCATTTCCTTCTTTTCTGATCACTATGCATCAGATTCGATGATAACCTACTCAAGATATTGAACAGAAATCGAAAATAAATGAGCTCTTCAGAATCATTATCGTACCATGTTCCTGTAATAGGATCAAACATTGTTGGAAGATTACTGAAGTAACGGTGAATGTTGTTATTGAAACGTCAATCAACATATTGAACTCATATTCCTGGGATTCGATGGGTAACAATATTCATGTTGAGTAGCAGTAAATATACAGAGTTTCCCAAGGAAGCCGTTCGTTAGAAGATTTTGTGGATTGAAATAACTTAAAATGTTTGAACTTAAGAGTTATTTATCATCCTCTTTATATTTGAAATATTTTCAAAGTCATACATCTTTCGGTTTTTCCGGAAGTCGCCATAAGCTTTCTTATTCAAAATGATATACCCTGTGAGTATATTATTTCATTTTTGAGTTCACAAGCAAACGCATCGATGAGTTCCATCAGGTTTCGTTATACCTATTTTCAAGTACTCCTCAGATATCTTGTTTTTTTGGAAAATTATAGAAGATGTAATTTTTTTTTTTCAAAACTGCATCTTTTACCCATTTTCGTCTAATGAAGCACGAGTATGATACTTAAGAGATTCATATTGATGATAGATTCATCGCATACAGGGTATCCAAAGTCCGATGCAAAATTACATCATTTTCATCGTTGAAAAAGTTCGTTTTTCCAAATGTGACACCCTGTGTTTATTGAATGAACGAATTCAGGATCTGATGCTGCATCGATTCTCTATAACCTCTTCTCTACCTACCTCCAACATTTTTCTTGATCTTCTATATTTTCCATCTTTTTCTTCAAAAGCCGATGAAATGCCAAAGCTCTACCATAGCATGGAAGTGTACTTTCAGATCCAGTAGTCGAAGTCAATGTCGACACCATTGATGTTTGTATGCCTCGCGCACCAGCGCAACAGGTTGTTTTTTATCAGGATTTTGACACTGAGCCACAAAATATCTAACAAGCAGACATCAAACTCAAATACCATGGATATGAAATATTAGAATCCATCTCTCGGGAGTCGTGTGTGTCTCGGATTATCAACGAACAACTTACCTAACATCAGCTGCGGTGACGCAACTTTATCACAGCAGTCTTCTGCGCAACCAGATTAACGAATCCCGAAAGATGGATTCTAGTAATTGATATTCAACGTACCGACATATCGGAGTGTTTTCTCTGGTTGTCGGTTATTTGTTGTCTCAGTGTTGAAATCATGATAAAATAGGCAATCTCATGCGCGTGGCATGGAATTGTGGATGAGCAGTAAACAAAATGAGGTTATGAACATATTCAGAATTCGATCCTTCAATTAATTCAGGTTGTCTGTCACATTTGAGAGTACACCGTTCGGGAACCTATAGGAGAATCATAATAAGAGAGTTTCTTATGATTCCAAATATGAAATATATCATACAGGGTCTTTCATTCAGAATATGTCAGTCAATGACGAATTCAGATATATCTGAAGTTGGTATGACCTTGAAAATATTCAGAATATTAAGTTCCACCCATCCGCGAGAACTCTTTACGAACGGCTACCATGAGACACCTTATACAATATATCTTGATGAATTGTTGTCGATCAGACTGCACAGCTTTGGTGATTCATCGTGAGTAGTAGTTGTTTCAAATATTTTCACAATAATCTTCAGAGAGTTGGTCAACTGTATCGATGTACCCTGCATGAATAGATATCATCATTTCCGTCTAGAATTGCAATATTTGATTGATCCAGTCCCTGAATTCGCTGATGCGCGTATACACTCCCGGCTGGTTGGGCTCCGCGCAACCGATGCCCCAAGAAATAACCCCAGCCAGCAGGAATCTATTGTCGTCCCGCTGGATGACCATCGGCCCGCCGGAGTCGCCCTCGCAGGAATCGAAGCCACCGCGCCGCCATCCTGCGCATATGAATATGTGGGGGATGTGCTCGATGTATCCGGCAGCGCGGTACATCGACTCGCACACCGTGTTGTTGATGACGGGAACGGAGACTTCCTGAAGGACGCTGGGCAGGGGACCGTCTGTAAAAAGGGATACATATTAGGAACTGTTTCTCACCATTTCTGATGTAATCAGTTATCCTCTCGAGTTCATTCATTATGGGTTCAAGGTATGGACCTGAACTTTCAAGAAATATTTGGAATTATTTTGATCTCATGGAAAATCTGTTGAAAATGTAGATACTATGCGCAGCAGGCAAGAGTTTTCTTAAGAATCAAGGTTGAATGCCTTTGAATCGAAAAGAAGATATGCCAGAGCAACAACAATTCCACCACATTATTGAATTATAAAATATTCAGTTTCTTGTTTCCAATTTGTTGTGATTGGAATAAAATAATCTGAGAATAAGGACGACTAGAAGAGCAAGTGGAAAGTATTTTGATAGGTACTGTTTGTAAGTTTACCGTGCCGTCGGAGATTCTCCAAATTGTTTGTTATTTTCTCTCGAATGAAAATATCCCAATGACGTTGAAAATTTAGTCAACTTCAAATACCTACTGGTTGAGTGGTGATAATTATCTCCATCGAGCTAGGTAAACTGACTTTTTTTTCATCCGGTATAATGATTCAGAGATTTCCTAATTCTCTCAAATTCTTTCATCTGATCTAAATCAACAACTATCATAACAGTGAATATGTAACTCATCAGTATATATCGTGAATGATTTATAATTTCCTTGATATTGTCAAATTGCTGAATGCGCCAATTTGGATACTATAGGAAAATGGGTCATTTTATTTCTTATTCAGGTTTATATTCTGGATGATATCAAAAAATAAACTGAATAATGCTTCAAAATTCAATTACAAGTTCCCTGCTTCTTCGAGTACTGGTGCAATATTATTTCTATGTGAATCCTCATGTGGTTACAGGAAGGTAGTGTGTGAGATAATTTTCTTGTAGAATATCAGGGGAAGCTATTGCCCTCTCCTGTTCCCCCTTAATGAAGCCCTCGCAGGATTTTTGAAGAGAGACGACGCCAGAGTGAGGTTTTCATAATATTATTGATACTCTATACCTTCTCAAGTTCAAATTGAGACTTATCAATTTCAAATTGGGATTAATCACATCCAAATTGGTAAACAAATTCAAAATGAGAATAAACACAATCAAATTGAGAATAATCATTTTCAAATTTAGAATTAACAGTTTCAAATTGGGAATTAACACTATCAAGTTGATTAACACAATCAACATAAGAATAAACTCATTCAATTTGGGACCAAACAACTTCAAATTGGGAAACGACAACTGCAAATTCGAATTGTCAAAATTGTGTCAAAATCGAGATTAATTATCAGCGATCATTCATCTTACCTGATATTTTATATAATTGATATGCCTTACATAAAGAAAAAGGATGCAGACAATATTAGAAAACAAATTTGTGCAGTGTATAATAATAATGGTGATTGGAGGGGACTGGCAGATACACTCGGCGTAAAAAAGCAACGGCTTATCGATGGGTAAAGAATCGGGACGAAATAGAAAAACAACGGGGAGGAAGAAGGAGGAACAAAATTACTGAAGAACATCACGACATTATTTTTCAGTATATTGAAGAAAACCCCAGGCTCACATTGAAAGAACTGAAACACAAATTCGAGGAAATCCATCAAATTATTGTTTCAACTGAATGTTTACGAAAACATTTAGATTTTTTGTTGTATACACTGAAAGATATTCGTAAAGAACCCGAGAGAACCAATTGCGGAGAAAATAAAATAAGACGACGTGATTATGTACAGCAGCTTTTGGATTATCAAGGGGATACCATTCCAATTATATACATGGATGAAACCAACTTCAATTTATTTATTTCCCGAAGACAAGGACGCTCTAAAAAAGGAACCCGTTGCAATTACATTTCAGCTGGTAGCCGTGGGGCAAATATCCATGTCATAGGTTGCATAGGTAATATGGAATTGATTCACCACGAAGTAAAAAGAGGTGCTTTCAGAAAGCAAGATGCTCAAGAATTCATTCGCAATTGCTTGCGTACTGCTCGAGATATGTACCAGACGCCTGTAGTGCTGGTGGTGGATAATGCTCCTTGCCATACTGACTCAGAAGAGATATTTCGAGAGGAAGAGTTTACAGATCACCGATTATTGAGGCTGAGTCCGTATAGTCCAATGTTCAATCCCATTGAACTAGCATGGTCCAGTTTGAAAGCTGCTGTTGAGCGAGATTTATCTGTGCAGTTGCCGCAAATTTTAGTTGGAGAAGATAGGGCAAATATAACTCAAACTGAGTATCGTCTTCGTCAACTGGAAAACATCATACATGAAAACATTAATTCAATTAATATTAATAATTGCGCTAGATATGTGGCCCATGTTCAAAGATTCATTCCTGATGCTTTGAATTTAATCGATATGATAATGTGAATTTTTTTTCTATGAAAATGCATTCTTTAGAGTCGTTTGTTAATTAATATCATGTAAGCTATAATATTATTATTCAATATAAGTAAAAATACAAATTCGACAACTCTGTTTTTATTGAATTTCGTGTTTGGTATCATCAACAGGTTCGCTATCGAATTGAACAATTCCATATTGTTCAGTTCCGATTTGAAATTGATTAGTTTCAATTTGAATTTGTTTAGTTTCAATTTGGATTTATTAAATCCGTGCCTAATCATCTCGTCCCAATTTGAATTTGATTATTCCCATTTTGAAAGTGATTAGTCTCAATTTGAATTTGTTTATTTTCAATTTGGATGTGTTAAATCCTCGCCGAATCATTTTGTCTCAATTTGAATATGACTATTCCCATTTTGAAAATGATTAGTCTCAATTTGAAGTTGAAAAGGTATAGTACGGCAGATTGAGTTCTAAGGGAGCGTAGTTGTTCCTCCTGCTTCTCGCTGAGTACGCCCTTGGGTGTTTTTAATTGACTGATCAAATTATTGTGATGACATTTCCTCGAGAGAAAAGGCTGAAACATCATTGGGTAGAAAAGACTACACTGATCTACCTGTATCACCCGTTAGAGATTTATGTTCAATATTCCATTGAACATTCCAACATGTATGTACCAGCGTATTGCAGAACAATAATGTATCGTGGCAACGGCAAATTCCCGAATCTCTGATGGAACCATGCATTAGAGAGAGAGGTGATATTCTGAGTACAATAGGAAGGTATGGAAGACGATAAAATCACTGAGAAACGAAGGCAACCAATAAATAGTCAATCAGTCACTGCCAGAGAGAGACAGTTGTATACCGCAAAAAATGAATAGTTAAAATAAGATGATAATGAGGTATTTCTCAGAGTTCAATTAATCTAAATCACTTCGAGCGTATGAATGGAAATTCTTATAATGTTCTAAGAACATCGTGCGCACCCAAGGAGGATATTGAGAGGAGGTAGGTATTAAAATATGTATTTTTTGAACTTTTGGAGGTTATAAATTCTGGAAAATACTTCCATTTGCGAAGAAGTCCAATGCTTTGCGGTTCTGATGCTCTTAGATTCCATCCCCAGAAGACCCTAGTGAGTGATTTCACACTCACTAGTTCTTTGGCATCATTAAAATACCGTAGAAAAATTGGTGACCACTGACTCATCTATAGATACTTCCACGGGAAGGGAAATATTCCTTACAAATATCTGCTATCATGCCATCACCAGTCAGGCGGACTGTCGAAAACACTTTCCAACATCCATTCGTTTGTAGATCAGTTCATAGATAAATAGTGTCGTTGTTTCCCTCTCTCCACGAAATACGTAACGATATCAAAGTTTTAGTTTTGAAACAATAATTGCTACACTATTTTCCATCATTCATCAATGAATTTCAGCTGATCTGTTATTGATATCAACTACAACATTTCAAATAATCATAGAATATGACAATCCATCACAAACGTGTTTCAAACTGGAATCAACAAAGAATTCATCAGGACTTACTCATTTATCAATCGACGTGGAACCAGAATAAAACTCGGGAAGGATATTGTCATCATACTCAACTATATGTAGTGGATTTGAAAACAACGAGACCATCTTCGTCATTTCAGGACTAATACATTTCATACGAACTTTTCCTCTCATTTTGACGTCAGCAAAATGTTTCTCAATTTTGTGCGCGTACTGAAATTACACAATATATAAGATAAAAGGGATGGGTTTGATTTTGGGGCTATTTTCTACAAGAAAATTGGGATCAGGAAGATGAGAAACTTCTTTCTCCTTGAATCCGCGAAGATATTTCCGATTACGATTGCTTCATTCAGATAGAGTCATCATATTTGCAAAATGACCTCTTTAATACTTATCGTGAATCATGTTCCTTTATTACCAAGTTGATAGAGGACACAAAGTTGAAACCAACTATCGCTGATGTCATTGAGAAAATGAGAAACAAATTACATCTCTGGACAGCTTTTGATGTTTCATCTCAGTGCTAACCTAATGACTGAGAGTTTTCTAGGTATTTGCTGAAACTCCCCCTATATGAATATTAAATTAACTGACGTAAACGAGCTTGATTGGTAATGTCTGGGGCATTTCAACATCGTTTCTACTCAGTTATGCATGAGATCTGCTTCTTGCGGTATCTCTCATGTGTATTTCTTGGATTCTTCTACAATGAAAATGAACAAACATATTTTGAAACAACATCGAAGGTATCGTTATGATAACTACTTTCAATTTCTGAATTTCTGAATGTTATAATTTCAAAGAGTATTGTTTCTCAAACAACATGAACATATTTTAAATATTATTCATCATCTACTTCTACTATATCATTCATTCATTCTGTTCAAGTCTCAGAAAGTTGAATCTTTTGGCATACAAAAATAGATCGATGAGTACAACTAATTCAAATCCATACATTCTGGACTCCGGAACGAGAATAAATATTTGAAGAAGCTTTCTAATTTCTTCCATGAGTGACTATATATATATATATACAAGGTGATTCTGAAATAGTCGGTCAACTTTTGGGAGTATATAGAGTGAGTGAAATAATTACGGAAACCTCGGTAACATTTTTTTCTGAAGT